TCAGTCCTGGTGGAGCAAATCCTCCTTTGGTGCCTGGAATACAATGTGGAGCCAGCCGCACACCACCTTCCAGGGGTAAGGAACAGTCTGGCGACGGCCTTTCAGGACGGCTCCGTCTCAGGAACACTGAGTGGCTGATACCCCAGTGGGTAGCCTCCAGGCTGTTTCGGCTGTGGGACGGTCCAAGGTTGGACCGGTTTGCCGCACCACGGAACGCCAAGCTCCCGACGTACGTAACACTCCTGCTGACTCCAGGAGCCTGGGCCAGGGTCACTTTGCTAACCCCGTGGACCCACTTAGTTGTGTACGCCTTTCCTCCCTTCCCGTTCACTGGAGAAAACTTGCACACCCGCATATTATCATGGGTTGCACCCAATTGGCCAAGCAAGGCCTAGTTTCCACTTCTGTTGGAAATGCTAGTCGAAACACCAGTATTGCTTCTGGACTTACCGGACCTGCCGTCCCAACAAGACGGCGCACTACCAACGAGCCCAGCAGGTATCACTTACACGCATAGAGGCTCTCAGTAGACCCGCACATACGAAAGCCTTATCTGAGCGGTTGCCAACGTCCTGGCCAGGGCGAACAGGGATTCCACCAATGCGGCCTACATTTCTAGGCTGCAAGCATACACTGACTGGTGTAGCGGAAGGGAGATTGATCCATACCATCCCTCTATTGGCCAGGAAGCAGGCCCCTTCGTCCACCTGTTTGATGAAGTGGGTTTGTCCCACGCAGCGATCGTTGGCTACAGGTCTGTCTTGTCCCCCACCACTCAAAACGTACGGGAACAAGACTATTTACTGCTTTCCGGACGCCAAGACCCCATACAAGGGAGCCACCCAACTGGAACTCGCCAGCTGTGTTGTCTGCTCTAAGCAGACCGCCCTTGGAGCCTCTCCAATCAGCTCCACTCAAATTTTTGACGTGGAAAATAGTCTTCCTACTGGCCCTCGCCTCAGGTAGGCGTCGGCCAGAGCTGAGGGCATTGTCCTTCTCTGATGATGTACCGCCGTTATGGACAATCAATTTGTGCTAAAGACACGAAACGGGTTTCTCGCCTAGAACCAAATCCCAGGACACGATCCTCACCCCCGGCTGTCAAATTTTGTCTGCCCGGAGGGTCAGGAGGAATTGCTTCTCTACCCAGTTCGAGCACGGAGTTGCCATCAAACCGTACTAAGGATTTGAAATGGGGTGCCAGGCACATATCTTTGTGTTATGGCCAAGGCAGGCAGGATAGGCCGGCCTCCCCAACTTCCATAACCAGGTGGTTTACTGCGACTGTATTAGAGGTCTATAATACTTTAACTTCCTCGATACAGAGCTTGCAGAGACGCAAAGTACGAGCGCATGAGGTCTGTGCAATTGCTAGCGTCAGGCGCCTTGAGCATACATGGAGGGCAGGCTTCTGGAGAACGCAGAACATCTTTTTCAACTACCACCTAAGAGACACC